CCCCCCCCCCCCCCCCCCCCCCCCCAGACTCACTGGACACCTCAGCCCAGAGCTGGCCTCTGACAAAGCCGCAGCCCCTCCTGGCCACGTGGTAGTAAACACTGATGGCTAAAGATTCTGTCCTCTGAGGCTGGTCCGAAGGTGGAGGCTCTGTCCAGTCAGTCACAGAGGGAACTTGCTCCGCTCCACCCATGCTCACTGTTGGACTTGAGCAGCCTAAAAACGGGGGGGTTGGGTGGCAGCTGGCCAGTTAGCTCAGGTGGTTAGAGTGTGGTGTTACACCCCCAAGGTCAAGGGTTCAAATCTCCATACTGGCCAGCCACCAAAACAAAAAAACATTCTTTATTTTTCAAGGGAGCCCAGGATTTGGTGTGACCTGTCAATCTTCATAGACTTTTAGAAACAAAAACAAAACATGCCTGTTTGCTAATGTCAGTGGTCTGTGCATAGACAGCGTCCTGCCCGCCCTGGAGTGGCCACACCGAGGTAAATGCTATTCATTTCATTTCAGGCCTCCACCACTTCGGGGAGCTCGAGGCCAGGGAGGATTGGCCAGAGGAAGTACCCAGCATTGAATTAGAATCATCTCTATTTTGGATTCACATTTGGACTCTTGAAATTACTGCTTTCCACCAAGAACCCAGATTGACTGCCCATGATCTCTGTCCTGTCCGCACAGGGACACAGCAGGAACTCAGAGCCATGCACACTCTGCCACTCCCTCCCTAACACCTACCCTCATGAATTATTGTGAAAAGTAATTCCACAGTTCCTTTCAGATGCTGGATGGAAAGAGTGAATCTTTGACTCAAAATCTTCCACCTAGAAGGATGATGCTACTTTCTTAGTCATTGAAGATGACTGAAGGATGTAATACTCTCAGTCATCAAAGAATATTCCATTAAATGAAGCTGAAAATGTCTGCTACGGGAGGGCAATGCTTGTCAGTAACTAGGGCTTCTCTCAAAACCCAACTGTGAACTATTGCCTAATTAATCCTGTCGCTCCTTTAAGATGTTGAGAGAAAAGAGTGGATGTTTGAGCTGAGAGGCCTCAACACTGGCTCTGCAGCCAGGGGCAGCCGTGCCCTTGCCCTGTTGAGCCTGGGTGGGGGATTGAAGGAGGTTCCATCTCAGTCTTACAAGAACAGGGATTACGGGGCAATAGTTCACATGGTTTTGAGAGAGGCCCTCATTGTTGAAGCGCAGTCCTCTCCTGTAGCAAAGACATTTCTAGCCTCACTTTCTAGCCTGATTTTCCTGCACCGAGTGACAGGTACTGCCCATCTCGAGGTATGGCTCAGTGCCTAGGAAGGAGCCTCAGAGCTAATATTGTGGTGACTTGTCCAGATTAATCAAGCAGTGTGGAGACTGTGGCTGTAATAAATTTGATTTGGGTTTTATTTTGCGGTGAGTAGTCTGGCCAGCCTCGTGCCCAGTGCCGCACTTTTTCATGAGCTGTTTTCACAGTGTGACGTGCTGATGATGGGCTTCCTTTCACCCATGTGACGTCGTGTGAGCAGTGGAAACATCTTGAAGAGGGTGGCTTCAAATAATTTCTGGACAGCAGCTCTGGAACTTAGTATTTCTGCCCCTGAATTTTTCCTCCACGATCTTCAGTAGCTAATATGCTGACTCAGCCACACCCAACCGCAAAGGAAGGCCTCTCCTGACCCAAAGCTTCAAGGCTCCATCACCTGTTCTTACGACTGTTCATATTCTTGCTAAGTCTAAAGAAACTGAAGAAAAAAGATTTAAATATTTATAAAATCAGTAGGTAATAATTTCGGTAAGTTCTGCTGGAGGAATGTAAGCTGTTTGGTGTTTTAAATTTAAGTGTAGAAATTGTAGAATTAGCACAGGTCCTCCCTGGGTTTCTTGTTCACACGATCACGTAGGAAAAACCCCAGAAAGTTTCACAGATGTGCATGGCTGGACCATTTGTTCTTGTCACTTTGAGAAAGGCCTGTTCCTGTGGACGGGGTGCTCTGTGTCCTTTGTCAGCTCAGCGTGATTCCTGGGCCCGAGACCCCCGGCTCCCTCCAGCCTGCTCACCCTTCTCAGTGTCGACTGCCAACGACTTTTGATTCAAGAAGCTTCCTAGAGGCGGGAGCTGCTATTTTTCCTAACTGCAAATTGTTACACTGCAAATTGTTGAATAAAGTATTTTGCGCTCTCAAGCATCTTCGCCTTTGGTGTATTGGAAGCAAGTGGGCGCTGCTGTCCAGACAGGCTCTGAGCCTGGGTGGGGGGGCCCTGGGCCCTGGAGCCCCGCCCGGGCGCGGTCCT